AACTAATTGCATTGGAGAATATTCATGATATGCAGTCGATCTAAGCCGAACTAAATTTGTTGCATGTAAAATAGCATGTCCCCAAGCTGATGAAGGTAAGTTACACTTCATTAATAATGGTCTGGCGATTAATTGTAAACGTTTAATTAAAGATTCAGCAAGACCATTTTGTGTATGGACATGAGCAACATGGTGCTCCACATCAATTCCAATCGACATACAATAGTCGTTAAATGATTGGGATGTAAATTCTCCTGCATTATCAAGTCGGATTCTTTTTATAGAATGATCCGAAAAATGAGCTTTTAAGCGTATAATTTGAGCAAGGAGTTTAGCATATGCTAAATTTCTAATCGATAAAAGACTGACATATGACCAACGTGTTGATGCATCAATCAACACCATAAAATATCGAAATGGTCCACATGGTGAGGCTATCGGCCCACAAATATCTCCTTGAATCCTTTCTAAAAATGCAGGTGATTCAGTTGCAATTTTGTTTATAGAAGGCCTGATGATCATTTTGCCAAGAGAACAGGCCTTACAAGGAAAATCACTTGATAATGGAACCCTGATATTCTTTAATGGGTGTCCAAGTGAAGTCTTAATGATTTTATGCATCATGACTTGGCCTGGGTGACCTAAACGGTCATGCCACAACATGAATGTTTTCTGATCATCTAACTTTGTGTTAGAAACAAAATTTATTTCGAATGGACTTATATACGTGAAATATAGTCCTGAGGAAAATGCTGGCATTTTTTCACAAATATATTTAGTGCCAGATTTAGTTGTCGTAAGACAAATATATTCCTTTTGGTTTTCATTCATGGTTTCTATGTGATAACCATTTTGACGCATATCTTTAAAACTTAATAAATTTCTCCGCGATTTGCTAGAGTATAAAGCGTCATTTATAATAATTTTTGTCCTGTTAGGGAGCATCACATATGCTTTCCCAGAGCGTTCAATGAGCTTCTCAACACCTGATATGGTATTGATTTTAGCCTCAACTAAAGTCATTTGAGAGAAATATATTTTATTTCTCAAAATGGTGTGCGTTGTGGCGCTGTCTATCAGACATAGCTCTTTATCATTTGAGTGATCCATATCTTCAAAATGTGTAACTAAACATAAGCTTGATCACAGATTATGCATATATTTTAACATAAAGTACATATATTACACACATTTATTTAAAAACAAAAGAAAAAAAGGGAAGAAAGAAACAGTACATAAAACTAATATGTTACAACATAAGGATCGGAGTTAATATTTTATTTTGCGACAATTTGGTTTATTGCAAAAGCATCGTCCATAATGGCATCATCCGCGAAAAAGTCGGACACGTCAAATTTTGGCAGAGGTGGAGTCGTATCATTGACATAATTAGCTTCCATATTTTTGCCGTTGTTCAAATTCATGGAAGCTTGAAATAATTCCACCACATGCTTTGCAGTACGGCATTTGTTAGCCCAATGCCTCGTCATGCCACATTTATAACAAGTCGTCTTTACCGAGGTTTTTGGAGGACGATTTATTTGATGGGCCTTTTGTTTGCCCTTGCCCTTATAATTTGGTCTATTGACCTGTTTATATTCTCGGTGTGACTTGTTTTTATGACCATTAAAATGCCCACGTTTAAAATGCCTTTTACTGCCACTGTATGTTGCATTTGATTCAGTGACTAAATTATGGCCAGATGGACCATAAACCGAAGGACTAGAATCAGTGGGTCTCAGATTATGATTTTTCATCAAAAGGTCATTATTTTGCTCAGCTACCGATAATACTAATATTAAGTCAGAGTATTTTTTAAAACTCTTTTCTCTATATTGCTGCTGTAGCAACATATTAGAAATATGCATTGTAGAAAAGGTTTTCTCCAACATATCAGCATGAATGACTTTTTGTCCGCATAACTTTAACTTAGATGTTATTTGGAACATGTCAGAATTATAGTCACTAATTGATTTGAAATCTTGGAATCTTAAATTGATCCAGTCGTACTGAGCTTTAGGCAAAAGGACCTTTTGTTGGTAGCCATATCTCTCTTGTAAATTGTCCCATAATTCTTTTGGGTCATCAACCAAAAGATATTCAGATTTGAGACTCTCATGGAGATGGTGACGGAGGAAAATTATAGCTTTTGCTTTGTCTTGGGAGGATGATTGATTATTGATTTCAATAGTGTCTTCTAGACCGTTGGCCTTCAAATGTGCTAAAGCATCCATTTTTCATTCCAAATATTTTTGGCCGGACAAATCAAGAACGCCAAATTCTCTCTTGCTAATATTTGCCATGATACTACAACAATATTGCTTTAATGAGTAAATAAATCTATTTATATTATTTATGTTAATGTAATCGTTACTAGGAGCATTAAATAAATAGTAATTAGTTTATTCTATAATATAATGTAAATGAAGATGTATTCGATGTAATAAATTATAATCTAGTAAATATCGATCGTGTCTAAATGGATTTACAAGAAAAGTAAATATAATATACTAATAGATGTATCATGCATGTGATCTAGTTTCGTAGTTATGTGACTATTAAATCATTGTATATATACTATAACTCCTGTTGATATTGTTATTTAGGAAAATAAAAAAATGGCAGCCATAGGACCACCGAATTTGTTATTGACAAAATTATTTAAGCGCATTAAATTTATAAAATAGTGACGGTTAGTTATAGTTTGGTAGTAGAAGCAGTGGGTATTAATTTTAAATTACTATGTTGCTGAGTGAACTTTGTTTTATATCACCCCTGGTAACAAAGAAACAAAACACCTCTCTCATCAAGACAAGATCATGTCATCTAGTGGATTTAATTAAATAATGATCAGTAAAATTCTACATGTAAGACACGTAACTCATTTCTCAGCGTAGCCCTTCACTTTTAATATATAATTATCCTTGTTAACTTCTTCTTTTCGGTTTTACTTTCTTTTCTTTACTTCTTATTTTATTTACATCATTTATCTCTTTCATTGTTTTTCCTTTACTTACTACTCTATTATTACGATGCACACACAATCTTCTAATTTGCTATCAACTATGAAGTATATTTTCTCAAGTCATATATTCTTCGACTACATCATTTTAAGGACATCATTTTAAGGATTGAACTATGTATCAAGATAATAGAAGAAGAAGAAAAAAGAATATCCTGAAATCTTGAAGCTAAGGTATGTATATTATTCATACTTTCTTTAATTCTTTTGGTATAATTATGATGTGTACGGTTTAAAAAAAAATGAGCTTTCTTTCAAAGTTTGAATACTAAATCATTTATTGTGATTGTTGAAGATTAAAAAAGATAATAGATATTATTGTTAATACCTGCAGGAGATGATGATTTCTTGGAGAGTTTGAGCAGATTCGTGCTGATAACGTGTTGTGAAATGAAGAATATGAAGAGCAAATTTAAGAAATAGATAAATTAATAAAAGTTCTGAATATCTTCTTCTTAATCTGAGAATTTCTTAGTCTTTACAAGGCATCACCAAACCCCTATTTATACTGGTGGAGCTTGGTGATGAATCATCAAAGAATCATTCTACATAATATGCTGGCAACATTAAATCTAACCATCTGTCTATTACAAGGATGGAAATTGGATTAGTGTCCTGATGACAAGGATGAACAATTCATACTTGTCATTCTCAGGAATTTACAACAAACTTTACATTTATAAAAGAACTGAATTATTTGTTTCGCCCCACCCAAACATGGATTCGCACCTGCCTCTTCGTATTCTCAACTAATTGAAACTTTGAATGCCTAATCGAATGCCTAAGGAGCAAGAACAGAATAGATGCATCGAGTGGGGAAGAAAGCAGAACTCACAGGGGTACGTATGTGATGGAGATCCCATCGTAATTTCGAAATAGGGAACCCTATTATCCCAACACACCCTATTGATAGGGGCCCTCTTTTCGAAATATGGATTATGGACCGTGGGCTTCAAATAGGTAAAAATAGGTTTGAAACATTCGTCAAATTTCCTTTTTTCGATGTCCCAAAAAGATTTGTCATTTCGAAACATGTAGCTAAAATTAAGGGAAAATTTTAGTTTGCACCCCATTTTTTTGGGTGATATTGGACTTTGCACCCCATTATCAAAACTTTTAGACTTTGAACCCTATCTATAACATTTTATGAAGAAAAATTCCTGAGTGGGGTGCAAAGGCAAAAATATTTTTGTGGAAATAGGGTGCAAAGTCTAAGAGTTTTAAAAATGGGATGTAAAGTCCAATATCACCCAATAAGCGGGGTGCAAAGTCAAAATGTCCCTAAAATTAATTCTCTCTTCTCTGCACAAATTTCAACCACACAGTTTTTACTTTATTAATCCACGTGAAAGTCAACTTTGGCCAACCTTTTCGAGACGGAGGGAGTAATAGTTTGGATCTCTTCAGAGGGCCGCTTGGTGCTTCTTTGACCTCTTTGGATGGAGCGTTTGGAAGTGTTAGTAATGGAAGTATTAGTAAGTATTAGTAAGGGCCCAAAAGGGAAGGGAAACGTAAGTGTTAGACATAATTTTACCTTGTTTGGGAGAGTCAAATGAATGAAGTGTTAATAATGGAAGTGTTAACAATTTTACCTTGAGTTAGAAGAAATGAGTAAGGAGAAGAGATGAAAAAGGCATATCATCAGACCTGCGCCAAAGAGATTCGAAGTGAGATGTCGAAACATTTTATATTTTTAAGATAATGAGAAGAGTAATGATTGTCCAACACCTCAAAAAAACTCCAAATCAAGGTATTAAAAAAGTGGAAAATTGAGGTATTGGAAAGGTTATTATTAACGCTTCCTAACCTTTACTACACTTTTTAATACCTCTTAATTTTTCTGTCCCAAAAATTAAGTCTGACCCTCCCCCTGACGCTGGATCCAAACCGCCATAATCGTCGCCAGCTACTCTAATCAACCTTCCATCTCCGCATATTGATTTGCTCAACCACCTCTCCCAGAGGCTCCACCTCAGCCGCCGCGCCGCCGCCTTCCTCCGAAGGTACCTCATATTTCCCTCCTAAATAGAGTGCAAGGTTTCTGGTACCTCGCAGAAATAGAATTCTACAACATCAATGAGTTCCTCGCCATTTCTGAGGTGTGAAGTGCATTTTTCGCACCACTTGCAGTAATAGAACTCTACAAAGGTTTCTGGTACTGAAATTTAGTGAATTCTACAACAATAGTGAATTCTTTAACGGTAGTGGATTTCTATTTTGTTAAAAACGGCTGGTCACTTCTGGAACTCCGTAGTTAATAAGGATGTTTTTATTTGGATAGTAATTCGTCCCAGATCAGACCAGATCAGACTAGACCAGACCAGACTTGGATAGTTATAAAAATACAAAGAAATCACACCAGATCAGACTAGACCAACAAATTACAGTCCAAATAAAATCATCCTAAGAGTACAAGGTTTCTGGAATTCTACGGTTAATAAACTAGTGCAAGTGTAACAGGAAGATATTTCTGTTAGGGAATTTCAACCATGCTTGGTGTACACAAGATGTACACAAAATGTGTACATTGTCTATGTACACAGGCAATTGGATATCAAATTCTGTCTTTTTCTAAATGAATTGTCTGTACACAGGCAATTAGGGGGGTTTTGTGTACAGTTTGTGTACAACTCATGTACACTAAGCATTTTCCAGGGAATTTTGACTTTGCACTCTATTTTCAAAAAGAAATCGACTTGAACCCCATAGTATAACATTTTTGAAGAAAAAATTCTGAAATGGATGGAAAGTAAAAGGATTTTTAAATGAAATGGGTGCAAAGTCAAAGTTTTTTGAAAACAGGGTGCAAAGTCCAATATCACTCCACAAGAGAGAAAGTGGGGTGCAAAGATAAAATGAAATAGGATGCGTGGGTATTTTTTACCCCGTATTAAAATATCTTATACTCCCTCCTTCCCAAAAACAACTTCACACTTTGTTTTCCACACATATTAAGAAAATAAACTTACAGGGGGTAAAATTTACTGTTTGGACACTGTTTGGACACTGTTTGGACACTGTTTAGCACTGTTGGGCACTGTTTGGTACTGTTTTGATGCAGATAAATTGCCAAATAAGTAAGTGGGAAGAAGTGTGAAGTTAATTTTGAGACATCCATTTAAGGAAAGTGGGAAGTTTTTTTGGGGACGGAGGGAGTATGTAAGTATGTAGCATATGTTGATCAATAGGAATTTCTTTTATAAAGTACGATTCACCTGCAGCTTTCTTTCACACACGGATTTTGTGATGCCGCAAGGTGCTAATATTACATGATTTTATTGCTTAGCACACATCATTTGGCTCTTTGTTCTAAATAGTTTTAGAAAGCTCTATTCTGTTATGTAGTTATATCTATCTGGTTTAAATACTATGGCTAAATCTATCTGGTTTAAATACTGTGACTTCTACTTGCCTCAGTAAAACTATTGTTTGTCATATCAAGAATAGGACAAAGAACGCCAAAAGCCAGGCAAATCTCACAAATGGGGGGACTGCCATCCATAGAAAGCTCATCGAGTGCGATAATTACTGAGCGATTACCAAAAGATCAAAGTGCCCCTGCCGCCGCTGCCAGTGTGTCGGAATCTAAGCCGAAAAAGAAGATATGTTGTGCATGCCCAGAAACTAAGAAGTTGAGGGATGAATGCATAGTGGAGCATGGGGAAGTTGCTTGCCAGAAATGGATCAAGGCTCATCGCAAATGCCTTCGTGCAGAAGGCTTCAATGTTTAACCCACTCTTAAGTGACGATTTACACATACCAGATTGGATTGGATTGGATAGAATCAATGAGTAATGAAACTGCTACTGCTACATCACCCTCCTGTTTTGCTTTCCCAGATACTCCGTACAATTTTACAAAAAAATCAGCAATAATGATTGATCAGTTAAATGAGTTCTCTTGACTCATCAATCAGTAGAATCCACTCTCTGTTTAATTGCAAAAAATGACTTCTACTTGCTATTCATCAGAAGGCTTGCTTTTTTATCAATAAATATCTTTCAACATACAACACACCTAAGAGCCAAATGTCATGAATTTGTTATTCAATTTCATTTTTTGCTCATTAGCTATATTTCTTCAAGTAAGAGCTATCTTTTTCCCAATGACATAGAAGTTGTAATGTGCTAACAACATAAGTTCACTAAACATTTATGTTGTATTTATAGTCCAGCACTCCAGCCTCTCTTGGCATTTTCAGAACATGTATACTTCCAACAACAATATCGTTTTTAATAGAGCATATGATAAGGCTGCCATAAACCGAATGGCACAGAGGCATCGACTGCCTTAATTTCAACTTTTGTTCTTTTTTTTGTTGATTTCAGGCTGCTCCTCTCATCACACGAACCCGCTACCTTTATTATCTTCTCCTTTCTCAGCCGATGAGCAATTCCGTGAAGGTAGGAAGAATCATTGGGAGCAAGAACTTCCTCATCTCCCCTATTTGTGTCTAGCGGGTTTCGAACCTGAGATCTCCCACTAGACACGGTAACCTCACATCCAGTGAGCTGGAATGCTTGGTTCAACTTTTGTTCTTTGTTGTTTATTTTTTTATTATGTTCTTTGATGTTAATTATGCTTCCATTTGTAAATAATAACTCCATATGTGCGTAGAACAACTATAATACTAAAATTGCATTGTGGAAACCAACAGCAACCAGAAATATAAGTAACCAATAAAAAACAAGATATGAAAAGTTATTGACAAAAAAAACCAAAAGCAATTTTTTTTATATAAAAAAGTAATAGTAACAATTAACCACCAAAAGCATATTCAATGAACAACATAATAATAATATAATAGTAACAATTTAAATATGTTAACTATTTTTAACACTTATTTCCAAGTTTACATTTTTTAATTTGTTCTACACGTTTCTTTAGTTTTTATAAATTTTTCTGATTCTTTGAAAAACAAAAATTAATTTTCTTCTTTACTTTCAAATTTTAATTTACTTTTATCTATCTTAAGAAACTTTCCCATCCTTTTGCATTTTTTACTTTTCGTTTTTGAATGGTTTATTAATATTTTGCTATTCTTCTGATTGTTTTAACATTTTTCAGATTTTCTTAAATTTGAGAAACCTTTTGTCTTTTGAGCTTTTATTTCTATAACACTGATTTTTTTACTTTTATGATTTTTATTATAAATTTTCATGTTTTTTCATTTTATGAATTTTAAAATTTTGTTTCTTGTTTTGATTTTAAAAAAGTTTGAGTATTTCCTATGTTTGAGTATTATAGAAAAAATAAATAAAGTTAGTATTTTCATGTTTTAACAATTTTTAAAAATTTATACACATTGTTTTGATTTTATACAAGTATTTGCTGTTATTTTAATTTTACTTTTTGCTATTTCTAATTTATTATTAAAAATCCCACAAAGTGTTTCCCACACATGTAATTTTTTTATCATTTCTTAACATAAACATTTGAAACACTTTTTCTTATTCCTTTAGTTCTTCAATCTAAGAGATTTATAGGGCACAAAACTTAAAGTCTAGGATCTTAAACTTTGGAGTTCAGTGCTCTGTTTGGATAAAGTGAAATTAAGTAAAGTTAGGATGTTTTTATGGACGGTAATTTGCTGGTCTGGTCTGATCTGGTCTGGTCTGGTTTGGTCTGAACTGGTCTGGTCTGGTTTCTTTGTATTTTTATAACTATTCAAGTCTGGTCTGGTCTGAACTGGTCTGGTCTGGGACGAATTACAGTCCAAGTAAAAACATCCTTAGTGTCATAAATTAACCTAAGTTTTAATAAAAACTAGGTTAACCTAAGTGAACTTAGGTTCATGCGTAAAATAGTGTTTGGAAATTAATAAGGTGAACCTAAATTAGTGTCATAAATGTTGTTTGGACTTTGGATGAAGGTACTTCGTACTCTAGCTCATTTTATGTTAAACGAGAACTTAACCTCCAAAACCCTCCATTTCGGAGGTTCTTCAATTTAAGATTTTTCCAGGTTTTCGGGAGTTATGTGAGATTCTTGTTGCAAAAACACAAACAAATGAAGTTAACTAATCGCATAAAATGAAAGTTGATGGAATTGTTGAGGACACCCAAATTTTAAAGTTACATAAATCCATGATCCATCTAATTTATTATAAGATAATATCATGATAACTTAAATTTAAAAATTGAACATAAGTTATTATGATTCCATTATTACTCTAGTCACTAGTAATTTTATTGTAAACAATATTTATTCTAATCATACATGTGTAATTATTTCTTTTTGAATATCATAGTTTTCTAGTCATAAATGTGTAATTATTTCTTTAAATATCATAGTTTAGAAAGATTTGACCAAAAAAAATATTCATAGTCCGAATGTCCGATACACCTAATTCTTAAAAATTGAAGTGAACGATTGTGCTTGAGTTGATAAAATTTTATTAAATAAATAAAAGAACAATAATAATTTCTAAAAAGGTTGGAATGCTATTTTTATGATTTTATCCATTTGAAATTGCAACTCACATTGATATGATGATATCACTACCATACTTCCCTCCAGTTTCCTCCCATTTTCGACAAGCCAAGTCCAAGTACACAGGGAGAGCATTTGAGACAGTCTAACCACTAAAATGCCAAGAGGACACAGAAGAAGAATATGTGCAGTGTGAGAATCTTAGGATAGACAGATACTGGTGCTGGTCAGAACCTCCTGACCATATCTATATCTATACATATGCTTCCCATACACAACTAACAAAAAACAGCTTCAATTTAAATCTAAAATTTACAATATTAAAAAAGAACACTAGACTGTTCATTTCTCTGGCCCCTTCCATGTTTCCTTAATCAATTTTATTATCACACAAGTCAGCAAAGAAGCAATCAGCAGTTGCTTCTTTCGCTGAACCATAACTACTTAAGCGCTTCTTCAAAGAGCGTAACTCCCTCTCGTCTTTTGAATTCCGTGTCTGCATCACAGTTAATTTTAAATGAGCACGCAGATCTACTTTTTTCAACAACACTGAAAAAAAAGTTAAAAATAACTGCAAGCTTTTGTACTTCATTTTATTCATATTCACACAACAAATGAGGTGCAACAAATCTTTATATATGATGCCCCTGTGTATGAATTTTTTTCTTAAAAGGAAAAAGGAAAATGCTCAAGAAAAAAATACTTTCAGATTATTATTTTACAACGGTAATAAAAAGGGCATGGCCCTCGGCAAAATCATTAAAAGGGGCACTATAGAAACTTACATATGATTTCTTCAACAACAAAATGTCAACCAAGTACTGCAGCCATAACACATTGGTCTTGGGGAAACTGCATAACAAGAAAGATAGTAGATATAAAATAAATTGTGTAGGAAATTCTAGTTAAGGCCATTATTTGTTAATCAACAAGAAACCAAGTACTGGTAGTAATAACTTCTCTTTCTAAGGTGTTACTTTTTTTGGAGAGTGTTTCGATTCTCATGGAAAAAATATAACACTGCAACTTCCGTACCTTCCTTCCCAGCAATCTCCAGTGACTTCTCTCATTTTTCTGTAAGTTTCTGACTGCAAGTGCAACAAGTCAATGGCAGAATAAAACGAGGAATCTAAAGACTGACTACCTCCCTTGCCTTTATACCTGTTTATCTCCTTTTGGGCCTTCAAAGATTTCAGGGTCCAGTGATAGGTCCAAGAAAAGTACATCTTCGCCTGAGGAAAAATATACAGTAGCTTAAAGTTTTGCCTTTATGCTGGTCTAAAAAGAGGAAAATAATATATTTATTAGAAATGGAGATGTATCACATAGAATTAGGACAGGTGAATGAAATGGAAGAGGGTCAGGATTCCTATGTGATCGAGGTATGCCGAGTAGATTGAAGGGTAAGTTTTACCGGACATAAATTAGACCTGCATTATTGTATGGTGTGGAGTAGGGGTGTAAACGAGCCGAGCCGAGCCCGAACATGGGTATGCTTGAGTTTGAGCTTGATAAGAATTCACGAGCTCGAGCTCGATCTCGAACTTGGACGAGTTAAATAATTCGGGCTCGAGCCGAGCTCAGCTCGAGCTCCACTCGAGCTCAATTCGATCTCTGTTCGAGCTCGATTGCTAATTATTTTTATAGGTTTGAAGTCGAATAAGATGCTTGAACTCGAGCTAAAAATATAATATGTGTACTTATTCATTCTCATTTTTAGTTTATATCATCTTAATGGACACTTTTATTCTTTATTTTACTGTCAATAAATATTACAGGTACATATTATAATTATTATAGATTATGATTATAATAGTAATACTACATACATGTTATTATTTTTGTAATTATTAGTAGTATAATATACTTTCTGATAAATATTGAAAATGCAATAGTCCTAAATCAGAATACATATTACAAAAAGGATTATATATATAATCATTACATATATAATTATTATATATAAAATATGACACAAAGGCTCGCGAGCCACGAGCCTAAAATAAATAGGCTTGAATTGAGCTTGTTAACTACTCGAGTCGAGCCGAACTCGAGTCGAGCTTAATATGACCGAACTCGAGTCGAGCTTTTCCCGAGCGATCCCCGAGCAGCTCACGAGCAACTTGGCTCATTTACACCCCTAGTGTGAAGTGTTGGCGTAGAGTATGGCGTAAAGATGTGTGGATATATTAGAAAAGACCGTTCGAGGAATAAGACAATCTCGCAAAAGGTGGGAGTAACATCGATAAGATGCAAGAGTCTCGATTGCGGTGGTTTGGCGATGTGTATAGAAGACCGATGATGCACCTATTACACAAATTGAGAGGTGGGGAGCAGAGGCAATGAAGAGAGGGAGATGATGCCCCAAACAAATGTGGATTAGAGTGGTCAGGATTGATAAAGTGCTTCTTGAGTTGGATGAGAGTATGACTTCGGATAAAGCGAAGTGGAGGGAGAATGATCATGTGGAGGGTTGATCTCTTTGTATCGTTTTAAATTCCGATTTCATATGTTGATTCATGTTAGCCAACCACAAACTATTTTGGGATTAAGGCTTGGATGTTATTGTTGTTGTACCTCTCTTTCTGTGCTCCACTTCAGCACCACTATTGTATCTAATTTTATAAGCAGCACTTAATGTCTAAGTTGGACCAATGGGTTTTAACTTTTCACAATATAAAAGGGTGAGTGCAGAGAGAGAGAGAGGAGCAGAGTGAGAAGAGGTGAAAGTTAGATAAAAATAACAAGAGCCACAGTGCCACACTCGAAGAACAATATCTGGAAGTCACCTTACCCATTTTCCATGTGAGACGGATGGAAACTTGTACAGTGACAAGGATTTTATGGAATTAGAAGCTTCTAGAATAATCTCTGTTTGGCTTCAACTCTTTTATTTATAACACATGTCTATACTCTATACCCATCATCAATTGGACTCGTCAATGTGTTTTAATTAATTAATAGAATGAACTGTTTAACAAGATTTCAATCAATTAAAAAGAGTGGTACACAAAATAGGGCACAAAGGATTGACCCTAGCCCCTATTTTGAAAACAATAGTATAGATTACAATAATATCTTACTACAATAGGTTTTAACTTCAAAGGTTATAATACACCGCATCAGCCTAGTTCCGATTAATGACTACCTACTTTTGATTTACCTTAGCCATCTTTAGCTGTTGTTGTCATATTTCTCAAACAGCATAGTTTTCATATATCTGGCCTCCATTTAAGTTAGCACTCCTATCAGCAACCTATTTCTCCTATGTAAGTTTTTCCACGCAAACTATTTGTGCATGCTGCTCAAATTTTTATTTTGTTATTTATATTCTTAATTTTTATTTTGATTGTGTTCCCCTTGCCTCCTTATAAGGAGTTAAACTTTTCTGTGCAAGCTTTGTCCCCTTCACTCACCAGAAACGAAATGCAATAGCTTCAAAAGCATAATAAGAACAAGATCAATGCCATGCTTTACCTGTGCTTATCCTTGAGAGAGTGAAGTCAATAATTGAGATAAGCAATCCAAATGTTATCACATGTATTTGTCTGCCCTCAAGAGTGAATTGCACAGTAGATGAACTTTTTCGAGTCAAAAGAATGTTTCCCCTTATATTTAAGAAACAAAAATTTGAAATTACAAATCAGCAAAATAGATGCAACACACAATTTTTTAACAATTGGTTTGACTTTTGAACCAATATCAAGACAACGAAACAAACCAGTGTAAATCTCGATGCTCAAATTCATATGCTGCTTCAGCTACAGCCAAAGCAAAAGTGGCCTGGAAGGTGTGGTAAGAAGTTATGGTCTTACGGGACAGTAAAGAATATTAAAATCTGGTTGAGACGGTAAAATTTTCATCTCTGACCTGAACTAACAGACTCCGAGCTTCATCATAGTTCAAAAGAACAAAGCTCTCAAGATCCTTGCCTCCATGTTCTTGAACAAAAACAAGGTAGCACTGAACCCGATTTTATGTGTTCGCTTAGTGATAAAGTATTGTGTGTAAGCTATTGTTATAAAAAAAGAAGGTACTGTGTGTAAACAACTACTACTACGTATATCAATTATATATCCATCATTTCATCTTGTATGCATAACTGTGAAGTGTGAAGAATGTATTTGAAACCCAATTCAAGTCTGCATCATTTCCTGGGCATTGTTCTCAGAGCACACAATATGATACATTGATACTTTCTAGTAAGTAAAACCAAGAAAGTTCTAGCCCTCTGAAAATTTTCATAAACGATAAAAATGATAAAATTAATTTACTTGCTTATCTGGAAACTCCTTGGGGTTGTCATTTAATGTGCCCTGCTTCATTTCCCAATCTTCCCATGCTCTTACCAGAGAAGCATCATATGGACCTTGGCATACCCTCATGCTGTGGCAAAAAAAAGTGAAGGTTTCATTATTTTCGGTTACCAAGATGTTCACTTCATTTTCAGTCAACAGAGTTCATTTAGAGACTTTCAAAACATGCTCCAAGTGGAATTAGTATCATTTCTCTTCTCATTTTCTAATCCAAGTCCCCATCACAAAAGTGACCTCAGTAGACATGAAGGTGGTTAGAGAAAAAGAGATTCATAAACACTAATAGGTAAGTAGGTCACCCTTTCATTATATCCATGACATAATTTGCCAAGTAGAAAAATGAAAGTTTATCCAAAGCCCAATGAATGGAATACAAATTCTGAGATTCTAGCAATTTCGTAATATATTATGGATCACTTCTCACACAAATAAATTCCGTCTGGATAGTGCCAAGAGACCATAATAACAAGAAGCTTACTCAATCATTTGTATGAATGAAGTACAGCAATTCAACATGTCATTCCCATTTCCTCTTAGACTATTTAGGGTGCCAGAAAGTACGACTTCCTCAAGTAATTCTTCAGATTTCTGTAACAAGCAAACAATATAGATACTGAATTAGAATCAGGAAAAACACAGTAACAGAACTCAACTCCTCTATTGAATCTTAACAAAATGAATAGTTTGCTGTTCAATTTTTCAAATCAATAGTTTTCAATGACTGAGTTTCTGGATCAAAGAGGGCCATTTTCTTGAAACGATACCTTTTGTATTTCACCATTCACTCGGAATTCTCCATCAAATGGAACAATCTTACATACAACTTCCCCAACCTTGAAAGCTTCTCCATATGTTCCTTCACCAATCTTGACGATATCCGTGGGGTTGCTGCATTATCCAAGTTTTAACATCACAAGATTAATTCCAAGTGAGGCATAGATAAGTTATGATATGTCCATGGAAACGGGATATATATTATAAAAGAAAATAAAATTAGTAAGAAATGTAATGTAAGCCTCAACAGCAAGATTATTCTCCATTTTTGCGATCTTACAGTTAATATTACTGGGTGAAACACGAACCAGGACTTTGATATGACGTCTAGCAGTGTAAAGGGGTGGGACTGCCCACATGCTGCTAACAGAGCCAAAAAGGGATCCCAACAGTGACTATCCAATGAAGAAGGTTGCGAAGTCATTGATAGTTTTCCAACTTTATCTTCAATACTTTCTGTGTCATCCTCAGCAGTATGAAATTGCTCAATTCTTTTCTCTGAATCAGAGGGAGATTTCTTCTTGGAGATCTCTTCAGAAGTGAAATCAAGACATTCCTCTTCAGAAGAAAACAACCCTGACTGCAATCCTCTGCATGCATCTTCAGAGGCTTTAAGATTTGAAAATCTGGACAATTTACAAGGATTGCATCCTTTCTGTGATGCTGGCGTTTCTAGTATCATAGGAAGTAAAGTAGGTGGTGCATAACTAATATTATTTTGCTTAGAGAGCAACCACTTCTGCAATGTTGATGACAAGCAAGGTATTGCAACATGATTTGATTGGATAGTCATGGTCCATGTGCTAGGTCTCTTAGGAGAGGGGCTTTCCTCCATTAATTCAAAAGAATCCACCTCTTCAAAGTATGCCTTCTCCTTCTCAAAATTGGGACGTTCTACTCCTTTCCCCTAGAAGGGAGGAATATATATACATATGTAAGGTAAAGGAAGCTATTATGAGAATGTGAGATTAATTGGGCTTATGTAGCACTCGCACACTAATTTAAATTATAAGTTCCAACTTCCAAGAGTCTATGAAAGTTTGATTTAAATTTGTTTCAAACAACAAATACATAACTAGATTGCAACTTTTAAAAATCGAAAAAGAAAATATTAATTGGCCTATTGAAGTTGAACTAAAAAGATGTGTATAATATACTTACCCTTGGAAGAGGTGGTTTTGCTTTTCTTCCAGGCTTCCATCTTTGAGGTTCCACAAATGCAGCAACAGCGATACTGGTCCTCCCTCTTTCAACAAAAACCACAAACATTTCGGTAATCGTGAAGAGATATTAAATTTTGAAAACCGGAGACAACTTGAAAAACTTCCATCGAAGTTGTGAAGTAGCTAAAATTTGAATATGAAAGCACAGCACCTTAGGGTAACTAGCCCATACAACAAATCGAACAAAAAGGGGGAGAAAAAGAAACAAATAAAAGGCACGGGTTGCAAGTGGTAAGGAAATGTGACGGTTTGCCCACACTCTCAGTCTCACCCCAAAACCCACTCTAACGCAAACATATAGTGTGCTTAAAACATAGTCACACACCCACTTTGTTGACCTAAGACTCAAATCATCATCGCATTCATTGAATACTTGAATCATACAGACAAGAATAAGCATGCCATGCAAAATCAACATGCATTTTAGCTGCCTGTCCAAAAAAAGAAGACTAAAATAGTTAAGTGCTGGAAATGCTCAAAATTAACAATTGGGGTGGTACTGTAGTAATGTCATATAAGCACATGATACAGTTAAAGAAATCTTGCTTCAGAACAAACATGAACTATAATTACATTGATCTTCAAACATAATAACTGATAAACCCTTGAGTTAACAGTCACCAAGGTGTAGTTTTATTACAAATATTTGACAGCTAACATCTAAAGATAGCTCCAACGTCTAAGTACATCAAAGGCAGGGGCATTCGCATTCCAGCAACTTAACAAGTTACACAACCACTCCTTAAAACAGGGCATACATAACCAGTCATCTAATGCTTACTACATCCTTGCTAGGAGGAATCATCATGCCATACCTCTTTTGGTACTGCATGTGAGTGATTCATTGTCTTGGTTCTAAGTGTCAATTAATCTAAGTTCATCAACAATACTCAAGCACAAGATCATTTATCTAATGATAAGGCATGACATATGACTTCAAGACTGAATCATGGCATGCTTGCTCTTTAGACAGTGCTAACCTGTTTTTTTCTTGATAATATAAGATGCAAAATTATCACACTAGAAGTGAAATGCAGTTCAAGCTTAGCTTTGCCACAGAAACTAACATCCTCACGTCTAGAAAAATTAGAGCGTAAAACCTGGTGGAAAGGGAACGACTCCAAGGGATACAATTAGGAGGGGCTAGACTCATATGGTTATCTATATCCGAGCTAGTGCTTGAATCCCTTCTGGAAGAAACAGAAGAGTGTAAGGCTCCAAAAAAATCAATCACTTGATAAACGAAATTCTTAAATCTCAACAAACTGACGACCTTGCTACATTTTGCTGAGCGTCAGTTTGAGGCTTTCTCCTCCGATAAATCACGGAAATGTCAGGTTCCGTAGGCTTTGCATGCCGCTTGACGTACTCCTGCTGCTCGGAAGCTACAAGTTCGGCCCACAAATCACCTGCTTCTCCATAAAATGCGAACAGAGAATCAAATAACTGATCAAAGAACTATAGATTACACAATGCTTTGAACTTCTTTAATCTTCGTATACCTGCACGAGAAGACATTGCGTGACTTCACTGAAAGTTTCAGTTTGAAATGCGATGTGTTAACCTTGTGCATTTTGCTGGGCATGTCATTTCGACAACAGGGAAGGAATTTGAACTTTTTTTAAAAGGAAGCGACACTGTTCAATCTTAAAACGGGGGTGATTGATGATAATAGTCCAAAAGGTTGAATGCACAACCCCAGGCCCCCCACCCGACCTGAGTGGAAAGGTTTTATACATGTGCTCACCAGAAGTCCTGCCTTAATTCAAAATCTGTAACCTTCCTACGGTCGTTGCGGATTTCGAATTTTGGTCACTTGGTCCAATTTTCACACCACTTGACCAATTGAACTATCCGTGTGGGACATTTTTTTCCTTCACTAGTAGTCTCTCGGAGTGTTTGTGTTTAATTAATAACACGATTTATTACAGTGATGTTGGAGAAAATATTTAATTGTAAATATTGATAGTATTTGGCAAACTAAGTGTGTTTTTTGTAATAGAAAAAGTGAAAATCAGTCTCAACTTGATTCCTACTTTTAATTTTTAAATACTTAATTTAATCTGAAGTTGTTACTTAAAAACATTCATTTCAACTTTTTAAACCAAAAGCCTATAACATTTTTTTTTAATTTTTTTGCAAACGCTTTCTTAGTGTGTCCCAAATTATTGTTTTTAAATCTACTCATAAATTAGAGTAATTTTTTATTGAATCGCGCTAAATCAAATTAGAAAACGACTAACAAGGATAGAATGAAATTATATGTTGATAAAGATTAATAAATCCTAAAAGGAAATTTATCGAAATAGGAGTAAAAATGATTGAGAGTTTCAAATTATGAATGTCGTGTTTTTCTTTCAACATTATGAGTAATAATGTCATATTTACTGTCATCTTAGAGTCATTACTATCAAAATAGTTGCACGAGGTGCAAACGAGTCAGGTTGCCCGTGACCTAGTCGTGAGCCCTCGGTCAAAACTCGACTCGAGTTCATTCAAACTCAAACTCGAGTTCACTAAAACTCGAACTCGAGCCGATTTGTTAAGAAGACGAGCCGAACTTGAGCTCAATTCCTTTGAGGTTGTGAGCTTGCATGTCGTAACATGTTTGTGTGTGTGTGTGTGTAGAGAGAGGGAGAATTGATCCTATCAGGCGTGCCATGGGGACTTGCTCGTTTGAGGGTCTTCCCAATGGAATTTTTTTATGAAATTATTTTAACATGATCCTCGTCAAGACTAGTTTAATCATACCAAATTATAGGTCAAAATTCAATCGGGAAGGCAGTTAAATGAATATTTGAAACATACTGCGCATTATGTACATATACAATGTGCAATATGTTTCAAGAATTTAGTTATCTGCCTTCAAAATCGAACTTTGATCTGAAATTTGGTATGAATAAACTAGACTTTATGAGGAACATGCTCAAAATATTTTATCAAAAAATTTCACCGGGAAGACTCTCAAACAGGCAAGTCCGCACAGAGGGTCTGGTCAGGCGCGCCTTACCAGATCAGTACTATATATATAATTAAATAAATTATTATATGTAATTATAATATATTCACATATGATATTTATTTATTGATGTTTATTTAAATAATTAAAAATTTAATTGATAGTAAAATACGATGTTGGCTAGTGACAAAATTGTAGTACCAAAATCAACTTTTGTGTTCTCATTACTCCAACTTTTACTCAACTTTTGCTCAACTTTTTGCATCGACATAAGAGTTGGCTATAATGAACACTTGGTTCAAGAAAATAAACTCTCACTTGTGACCTATAAAAGTGGAGGTAATAGTATCCAAATTTACTACTTCTTAATACGAACTACGTGGAGAACTAGATACAAAATGTAAGGTTATCCATGTGAGAGCGTTGTCACTCAGTATAAGATGTTTGTGATTGATTATCATGGTAAGACGGGTTAAGTACCAAATTGAGCCAAAGATAAAGTGGTGAAGACTCAAGGGGATCTGCAACAAAGTTTTTCACAAAAAATGTTATGTGAAGATGTATGGTGTATTGATAATGACACACATGTGGATGATGTGTGGTTATCAATGGAGTTGAGTATTAACAAAGTGGCGACGGAGATTGAAGAATTTAAAGAATGTATGCCACCAAAAAGGACACATCTTGATGGAATGATGAGGTGGAACAAGTCATAAGCAACAAAAGGGAATGCTGAAAAAAGTTAAGCAAAAGTTGGAGTAATTAGGACATAAAAGAGTACAAGAAAGCAAAAAGAAAAGCAAAGAGAGCCGTAAAGGAAGTAAGAGTGAAAATGAACAAGGAATTATATGTAAATGTGGACTCTAAAGAAGGAGAAAAAGATAATTACAAACTTGTTCATCCTCGTGATAGTAAGACTCGAGATATCCGAAAAGTTAAGTGTGTGAAGAATGGTTTTACAGACTTGTTCGTCCTCGTGCTAGTAGGACTCAAGATATCGGAAAAGTTAAGTTTGTGAAGAATGTCGATCAAAGGGTACTAATGGAGGTTGGAAAAAAAAGATGTGGAGGTCATACTTTAATACATTGTTCAACTGGTTTAAAATACAAGGTATTGATGATCTTACTGTACCAGATTTTATGTTAAATTAAGATTTTATTAGAAGTATCCAAATGACAGAAGTTAAAGAGGCTCTAAGAAAGATGGAGCAGCAGAAAGCAATGGTTCCGATAGCATACTGATCGAGACCTGGAGAAATTTGGGACAGAGAGACGTCGAATGATTAACACGTTTTTGAACAAGATTTAGAGAAACAACAGTGTTAGCGAGTTAGCCGAAAAGTACCATTCCCCTATTTAAGAATAAGGGTGATCTACAAGAATGTGCCAACAATCGAGGGATTAAGCTTATGAATCACATCACAAATTTTGGAAGAAAGTGATTGAGCAAAGAATATGAAAAGTGTGAAAATTTCGCAAAATCAAATGGGTTTTGTATTTGATGTCGCTCAACAAATGAGGTCGCTCAACAAATGAGGTCCATTTACCTTCTTAGGCAAGTTATGGAAAAGTATAAAGATACCAAAAATATGCATTTGATGTTTATTGACTTAGAAAAGACATATGATAGGGTACATTCAGAAGTTCTTTGGTGCGCCTTAACTAGATTTTTTATATCATGTAAGTATATCAACATCATCATGACAATATATGTATAAAGTTTTTATTACAAGTGCCCGCACTAGTGTAGAGATGATTGAAGAGTTCCTTATTACAATCATAGTGCACCAAAGATCGACTCTGGATCCTTTTTTATTTACTATAGTCATGGATGAACTTGTGAAGTTAATTCAAGAAGATATACTCTGGTGCAAAATGTTTGTTGGTGATATTGTATGATTTATGAAACACAATGAGATGTTACGTTAAAATTGGAAGTATGACGACAAACATTGATGGTCAAGGGTTTCAGGCTGAATCAAAGCAAGATTGAGTATATGGATTGCAAGTTTGGTGGAGGTAAAAGTAGTGGTAATAGTAAGATTACCCTAGATGGTAAGGAGATACTGGTATATGATATGTTCTATTACTTGAGCTCCATAATTCAAAAGGATAGCGATTTAAATGAAAATGTATTCCATAAAATCAAAATAAGGTTGATGAAAGGCTAAAGGGTCAAATAGGTACATGAACTAACTTAAAGTGTTCAATTAGCCCTATATTTAGGAGGTTCTGTCCGGCCGTCGCCAATTGGGGCGGTTCCTGATGGAATTTTTTGATGATTTTTTTTGAGAATCTTCTTCATTAAGTCTAGTTTATCCATATCAAATTTCAGCTAAAACTTAAATCGGGAAGGCAGTCAAATGATTTTCCGAAATGTACTGCGTTGTTTAACTGCGCAGTTATCTTCAAAAAATCGTTTGATTGCCTTCCCGGTTGAATTTTTAGCTGAAATTTGGTATGGGTAAACTAGACGTAATGAAGAAAATGCTCAAAAAAAATTCAGAAAACAATGCCACCAGGAACCGCACCAATTAGCGATGGCCGAGCAGAACCTCCTATATAAGGGGCTAATTGAACACTTTAAGTTAGTTCATGTACCTATTTGACCCTTTAGCCTTGATGAAATAAAAGAGTGTATCAAGATTTTTATGTGATCGGGGTATGCCAACTAGACTGAATTAAGGTAAATTTATTCGAACAACAATTAGGCTTGTTATTACTGTATGAAACAAAGTGTTGAACGATGATACAGTGTCACATTTAAAAGATGATAAGTGTGACAATGTTGCGATGGATAAGTGGACATACCCGAAAAGATCATTTGAAGAATGAGATAATTAGATAAAATGTGAGAGTAGCGCCTATAGAACATAAGATGCAAGAGTCTTTATTGTGCTGGTTTGATCATGTGCGTAAAAAATCTAAGTGATACACATATTAGATAAGTTGAGAAGTGAGAGAAGAGGAAGACTCAATTAGACATGAATTAGAGGAATCATGAGTGATATGCCTCTTCAAGGATAACTGAAAGTAGGGATGGACTCGGGCCGGGTGGCCCGACCCGGAACCGGCCCGGGACCGGCACTGTTCCGGCCCGGCCCGACCCGGTGGCCCGGTCAGTGACCGGTCCGGGTAGGCCCGGCCCGTGGGTTTTCCGGTCCGGGCTCGGGTCACCCAAAACAAGGCCCGACCCGGCCGGGCCCGGGCCCGGTTCGGGCCAATTTTTTTTTGTTTTTTGTTTTTTCAATTTTTTTAACTTTTCGGGTTGGGCTGGGTATTTTGGGCCATTTGGGGTGGTTTGGAGGGTTGGGGGTGGGAGGGGGGTTAATTAGGAAGAGGAAAACAAAAAAATATATATAATGGGTTTGGCCCGGCCCGGCCCGGACCCGGACCGGACCCGGTGGTTACCCGGGCCGGTCCTGGGTCCACCATTTCTGACCCGCTGGCCCGCCCGGGCCTAGGCCCGACCCGGATCCGGCCCGGACCCGAGTCCAACCCTAACTGAAAGCATGACTTTGAGAAGAGAAAAATGGAAGCTAATATTCATTTTGATTATTCCTATTGGGTTCTAACCACTCTAGTACTCTACATTAGCATTTGACGCAATGTTCAAGGAAAAAATAATAGGAGTAATGAATAGTATAATAAAATGGTAGAAAAGTGTGAAAGAGAAAATAAGAAATAGAAAAAGTAAGGATAATTGAATATTTTTAAAGAAAAAACCTAGCAATAATTAAAATACATTTCAAAAAAGAAAATGTAAGAAAAACCTATCAAAATTAATCAGTTCAATCTTGTGTTTCAAAAGTGAATTAGTTATTCCCCATAATTAATTAGCCCTGTGCCCCTGTGTTTTAAATTTTTAATTATTCTGCTAGGCAATCCTTTCCGTCGGTATTTATCTCATTCAACTTGATAGTTGATACATACGGCATACCTATCAAATCCAACAAATGTTGAATATACAAGGCTATTAGCGCCATAGTTGCCGCCCTTATTCTAAACTAACCCCAATCTTTATATAAAAAGTCATCTTCGCATTTTGGGCATAATTTTTTTCAAAAATGTAATTTATAATGTTAAATACATAATTTAAAATACACAAAACATTTATGAGGATGCAATCAAAATTAAATTGGACCAAATGTGATATTACTTTGTTCACAAATGAAATTTTAGAATGTTAATTGCATCCTAACAAAGCTTGTGTAATTACTTCAATGCATTTATATTTGTAAAAAACACACAATTTGGGATACTTGTCACAATTCACACACCCATTAAAGTTTGGGGTATTTATACTATTTTTTTCCCATTATTCCTTCGGTAAAAGAAACGCCTCACCCATTGTGAGGATAAAATTATCAAATACACTAAACCTGTAAATGACATGCTGTGATTTTGCTGTCTACAGATGAATATATATGTATCGGATTATCGAACTTAAGTTTCATCCCCAGGGACTCCCACCAAAACCTCAAGATAAACCCTACACGTGCTGAGGCATCAACTTGATAAGTTATACCAAGTACTACAATTCCATGAAGCATGATGATCTAATGGAATAAATCCTGGGTGATCTCTCTCAAAGGAATACGCCGGGTTGGTGAATATGTGATAAAGTGGCAATCTTGGTCAATGTATCTGCAACCACCAAAATAGATGTGGCCTTCCTACGATGGAAGCAACCTGATCACGAAGTCCATAGTCACGAGAAGTGTAAGAGATGAAAATGTGACCAAGACCTCTTAAAATAGACTTCTCTGTTTACAGTAATTTCATAAACTGAAAACTTCGCTTCAACATACACACATTAAAGGTCTCATGAAATCATGAAAAAAGTGCAATACTTTTACAGAATTAGCACATTCTCCCTTTTATTCTGGTTTACCTTCTACGTAGTATAATTTAGAAACCTTATAGTAGTCCATTCTCCATATCAACTAGTAACACTATATTAAAAGCTATTTGCCTCTGAAGATACAGATGTTACACTACATTTCCTGATTCTTGTTATCACATAATAATGACTACTACACACACATATGTGTGTAGTACTAGGAGGCAACCATCAGGGGTCATCCAAATGCATTAAAAACAATTCGGATGAACAACTCTACCTCTTCAAGGACCATTAACAATTTATCAGACTCAGGGCGGTGGATCTTTTTGCTTAGAATGGGCATCCGGGACAGTGACCCGCTGCTTTTCATATTCTTCTTTCAGTTCTTCCAAACGCTTGGAGACCTGGATGATTATGGAAGGTTGGGAAAGTTCATTAAGAAAATAATGAGGTAACCAGCAGTGAACTGCAGGAATTACAAAAATAGAACTTAGGGTAATTTGTTAAGGACTTCTTCATCCTATTGTAATTGTTACAGATCATTGTTTTCTTTTTTTCACATGATTCTGTCACATGTTGTGACAGCTCTATCCAGGGTGCTAGATATTTACCATTCTGCTTCTAGTGCGCAGAAAATCTAAACCTTATTCATGATAAGAAAAGATAGTGTCTTCGAGCAGAGAATATTATCTATTTAGCAAAGACTGGGGCACATGTATTCTATGTTATGGTCTTATGGACTAAATCAGAAAGATTTTCAATGGTTGAGCACTAAATGTAGAAAACCTATTGGCCGAGCAACGGGCGCGCTGTATTTGATGCCATCAAGTCGCTCGACTCAGACCCAGAAAATGACAATTTTCGCCCGCACCCACACACACGCCCACACCCACGCCCACACGCGCACCCACCACCCACCCACCCGCGCGCGCAACCACTCACACACACATGCCACCCCTTGCTCACAGCTCGGCACCGGAGCAGCAGCTTTACTGGCAACCTCAGAAGAATTTCCACCAACGCAAACCCGGGCAAATCGCAGTTTGGCAAAGACATTTTTTGTTCAACAGCTAGTGAGAGGAGCTCGAGCAAAGACGCTTTCCCGGAAAGCTTTATAAATTGATCCAGAGGTCCCTGCCCTAGATATTTGTAGGAACAGTCCAAAGGCATACACTCCATTTACCACACACACACACACACACACACACAACACAACACACAGACGATCGCATGTAGTAGTTTGGCAAAAGAATGAGAAATGGGTCGAGGAAGCGGCCCTGCTCAGCTGATCGCCAACTCACTCTCCCATACGGGAGGTCTCGGGTTCGAAACTCCATGGAGGGAGTTTCAACCATGTTTACCCCAGACTCCCCCCAGCCCCCCCGACCCCCCCGGGGTAAAAAAAAGAATGAGAAATGTGTCATAATATATGACATAAAAGATAGGAGAAAGCTTTTCTATCTAATAAAAGATAGACCAATCCACTTTAGCAGAAAAGTCGACAAGTCATTTTCTCATTACTTTGGGTCTCTCATTTTCTGGCTCGGCTCAATCATGCATCTGCTAGTAATAAGTGGAGGCTTTGCATGATCAAAATCATGTCATTGACAACAGCAGGTTGCCTAAATTTTTTATTTTTTTATCATCATATAAATATAAAACTGCAATGATATCATTTTATTGGATATAAGATATACGTAGTATTATTTTTGAAAAAAAATCAATGTAAGATTATTCGAATACATTTAAATGTTGGGTTTAATGAATACTCCATATTATTTACTATTAATATATTATTTTTAAATCGAGGCAGTATCAATTCTTTATTTAAAATTTTGCATGACTCAACTTGAAAGAAATTTATTGTTTATATTCTGTTAACTTCATTATGAACTGAACATATGTTGTCAACCAGTACTGATATATTGATTCAAACGAGATGGAGTGAGGATAAACTGTTAAAAATATACAAGCACAACTACCATTGATATAGAGTTTATCCTCAAACGATCAAACCAATCTGTTTTTTGGCTAAAATTTGAACTGTTTCCTGTTTTGGTATCTTTCAAATATCTTTATGACATTTTTAAAACTCATAAACAAAAGAAAGAAAAATACACATTTCAATAGCGAAAATATATGGTCAGTTTCTAAATTTAGACTCAGGCATAAAAATGTGGGTAAGACCCTCATTGAGCTTCAAAGATGAAAATGAAACAATAGTTAAGGAACCTTATGTGAAATTTCTTCCTTTTTCACAATATGTTAAGTGGGTTTAAAATCCAAACATTCCTTAATATGAAATAGTTTAATTTTCACTACGGAAGAGAATGCACCACGAGGGAGGGAGTTAAAACCTTGAATGTATAGGCCATTGACAATAGGGTATCTGGGTTCATTGCATCCTCAGGGAAGTTTCGCAGAGCATGTATGAGTTTCTCAAAAGGTAATTTTACCTGTCAACACAGATGAGACCAATATAAAGAACAATTGAATTAATACAAAGACAAAGACTACAAAATGCTAAAATCTGCAAGAATTAAACTAACCAGGTCATCGTGGCAATATTTCAATAGCGCCAACCCGACCTTAAACACGATGTTAACACCCTGATACATTTGAACGAAGTAAGAACTAAGAACTATAGCAAGTCCAAACTAAGGAAATGTAAATGAAGACCATGATAATGAATCCGCTAACCTCATAGAGAAAAACATCCCAGATTCTAAGAGCCAAGTGAAAAGGGAAGGAGTATGAGAAAACAGTTATGAACCACTGACTCGCATACATGCTGGGATTTATCATTTCTTGAGAAAAATGCTCTCCCAGCTTAGGCATGAAATCCTTTACTAAACGATCGAATTGGAAGAGATATTGCTGTACAAGAGGCAGTCCAACCTAGCCCGAATAGTGAACAACTTATTAGTGTCAACATTCTACAAATGAAATTAGTAGCATTAACTTGAAATTACAAGTAAATCCACTCTGTTATTTTTTGTTTATTCGTTTTGATTTGGTAGAAGAATTGTAGATTTTTCATACCATATTAGAAGCATGAAGACTGCCATGGACAAGTTAAACTTCCATTTGCCTATTACAAGGTTAATGCGGCTCATTTGTAGGCGAAAAACTCAAAGCCTAATCATTGGGCTTTTGCATAGGCCTAGTGTTGTCTTGAGTATATTGTAATGATATTTGAATCATTGATATTAAAAAAAATGACAGTGCATTCTCCATTGTACACTACAATTTTTGTGTACAAACAACTTTTGAAGCATGCTTCAGTCACTGAGGATGCCTTCTCCCAATATTTGAACATAAAGACTGATAGCACAAGGGGTGTAGAGTATTTTAATAAAGTGTATGTGAGGAGGGGAATGAAGGGACATGAGTTTATGTGAGGAGGGGAATGAAGGGACGGGAGTTTATGTGAGGAGGGGAATGAGGGGGCAGGAGTAATTAATATGCTGGTTTGATTTCTGAATATAAGGGAGGGGAATAGGGGAGGGCAGGCTGGTATTCAGTTAGAAATGGCTGGGCTTTGGCTAGAGAGAAACTCCTTGTTCCTTCTCTAGATTTGGTTGTTATTCTCTTTATCTTCCCTGTAATCAGTCTGGAGTATTGAGAATTCCTCAATCTCCATTGCTAATAATACGGAAACTGTTTGGTGATATTCTGGTTCCTAACATTGGTATCAGAGCGGTCCGTTCCTGCGGACTGTGAATGAGATTGACGCGTTCAAAAATGGAACATCGAGTTGAGAATCTCGAACAAAGTGTAAACCACATCGAGCAGAAACTGGAACGCAACTGTACAGAGGTGCGCACGATCTCCGACAAGTTGGATGGAGTGATGGCCGAACTGCGCCTTATCGCGACCAACCAGAGTCATCGACGATCCAGGGGGAGGTCGCGTACGACTAAGCGAACGGGTACACGTACTCGGACAAGGGAGTCGCACTCTGGAGGTAATTCTCACAGTGCGTCAGTTTCGTCTCACGAACCAGGTGATACGCGTGTCAATCGCGGATTTGAGAGGACGGGAAGGAAGGTAGATCTGCCTCTTTTCAACGGAGTTGATGTTCATGGTTGGATTATTAGAGTGGAACGCTTCTTCAAGTTGAACCAGGTGCACGATCAGGAAAAAGTGGAGCTGGTTATCCTGGCCATGGAGGAAAAAGCCCTGAACTGGTTCCAGTGGTGGGAAAAACAAAATGAGGAGAAATCGTGGGAGGAATTTAAAGGAGCACTAATACGGAGATTTCAACCAGAACTGCTGCAGAATCCTTATGGACCGATGCTAAGCATTAAACAAACTGGATCGGTAATGGAATATAGAGAACATTTTGAACTGGTGGTAGGTCCAATGAAGCATATTGATGAGGAAATACTCAAAGGAATTTACCTTAATGGCCTGAAGGAAGAGGTGAAGGCTGAACTCAAATTGTACCCAAATGCTACTCTGCCTGAACTGATGGATATCTCGCTGGTGTTAGAAGGGAAGAATGCTGCATTTCGAGGGGAAAAATACAAGGAGGGGGACCAGAGGAGTGGAAAGGAGAAGGGAGAGGCACTGAAGAAACCACAACAGTGGATAGATGGCAGCAAATGGAGATCCCAAACCAATATTCAAGCGTCTCAAGAAAAATCGGGAGTTGAGCCTAAGGTGGGAGTTAAACCGGATCTCAATAATAACTGGAAGGGTGGCCAGAGGCTAACACAAGCAGAATTACAAGACAGAAGCAAGAAGGGGCTATGTTTCAAATGCGGGGAAAGATGGGGCAAGGATCATGTGTGCAAAATGAAATACTACCAGTTTATTCTCACAAAGGGGCCTGAGGAAGAAGCAGATACTATGGATTCAGAAGTGAATTTGAAAGAGACAGATATCTCCCTAGAACCGCAACAAATGCAACTGTCAGCCATGAGCAAACAAGGGATCACTACACAGAAGACTTTCAAGTTGGAAGGGAAATTGATGGAAAAGGGGTTACACAGATCTGTGTTGATCCTGATTGACAGTGGAGCCACCCATAATTTCATATCACAAGCCATAGTGGAGGAATTACAATTGCCATACATCCAAATTGATGGATTTCAGGTGGAATTGGGTAATGGGGACAGAGTGAGCAACAATAGGAGGTGTGTGGGATTGCAGGTTGGGGTGCAAGGCCTTAATATTACACAAAACTTCTACCTGTTGGAGCTGGGAGGGACAGATTTAGTGTTTGGGGTTGAATGGCTTGCCAGTTTGGGGAATGTAGAGATCAATTTCCAGGATCTCACACTTCAGTGGTGGGAAGACGGGAAAATAAAGAGCCTAAAAGGGGATCCAACTTTAAATCAAGTGCAAGTTTCCTGGAAGCACTTGTAAAGGCTATTAAAAATGAAGGCCAAGGTTTTTTTGTGACCTGTGGGAATCTTCAGGGTGAATCTGTTAATGGGGCTGCACCAGGAGGATTTTGGCAGGACGTGTTGGACAAGCATAAGGAGGTTTTTCAAATGCCAGCAGGGTTACCCCCTAAAAGAAGTTGTGATCATGCTATCAACATTAGGGAAGGAGCTGAAATACCTAACATACGACCCTACAGGTACCCTCACTACCAGAAAGATGAGATAGAGAAAATTGTGAAGGAGATGCTAAATACAGGGATTATCCAGCCCAGTACCAGCCCGTATAGTAGTCCTGTGCTCTTGGTTAAAAAGAATGATGGTAGTTGGAGGTTCTGTGGAGATTACAGAGCCCTAAACAAGATCACAGTGCCTGACAAGTACCCCATACCCATAATTGAAGAGTTACTGGATGAATTGGGAGGAGCCACGGTATTCTCTAAGCTTGATCTGAAATCGGGCTACCACCAGATCAGAATGAAAGAAGAGGATAGACACAAGACTGCTTTTCGAACGCATGAAGGACATTACGAGTACCTGGTAATGCCTTTTGGATTAACAAATGCTCCTTCCACTTTTCAAGCTTTGATGAATCAGATTTTAAGGAAGTATTTGAGGAAGTTTGTTTTAGTATTTTTTGATGACATACTTATCTACAGTCCTTCAGAAAGTGAACACAAAGAACACTTGAGTACCATCCTACAGTTACTCAAGGACAACCAGTTGTATGCTAATCCTAAAAAGTGTATAATAGGGCAGAAACAACTGACCTACTTGGGTCATATAATTTCTGGGGAAGGAGTAGCTGCTGACCCGGGGAAGGTTAGGGACATGTTGGACTGGCCCGAACCTAAAGAAGTCAAAGGATTGAGGGGATTTCTGGGCCTAACAGGTTACTACCGGAGGTTTGTAAAAGGGTATAGTAAGATTGCAGCGCCCCTAACAAACCTATTAAAGAAAGATGCATTTAAATGGAACCCCGAGGCTTCTCACGCCTTTGAACACTTAAAGAAAGCTATGACAACTCTACCTGTTCTCAGGGTTCCAGATTTTACAAAGACTTTTGTGGTTGAGGCAGATGCTTCCGGGACAGGTGTAGGAGCAGTTTTAATGCAGGAGGGGAGACCTGTGGCTTATATGAGTAAGATTTTATCTAAGAGGAACCAGAATAAATCGGTGTACGAAAGAGAATTGATGGCAATCGTACTGGCTATACAAAAATGGAGACCCTATTTATTAGGCAGGGTCTTCGAGGTGCACACGGATCAGAAAAGCCTGCGGTTTCTAACAGAACAGAGAATAATGGGGGAAGAACAACAAAAGTGGGTTGCCAAGCTTTTGGGATACAATTTTGTGATCAAGTACAAACCCGGCAGTGAGAATAAGGCAGCAGATGCCCTCTCCAGGAAGGGTAGTATACACAGTTTGTCCGTTGTTACCTGTCAAGAGTGGGAAGGACTAGATGAGGAATTGAAGGCAGATCAGAGATATCAGAATATCATACAAAGAGTGATAGGAAATCCAGCTAGTATACCAGATTTCAAGTTCAGAAATGGCTTATTGTATTATCAAGGAAGATTGGTACTACCTAAGCAATCTCCTAGAATACCTCTAATTTTGAAAGAATTCCATGATTCTGCAATTGGAGGGCATGCCGGGGCCTTCAGAACTATGAAGAGAGTATCTGGTTTATTCTATTGGGTTGGCATGAGAAGGGACATACAAGAATATGTGCAAGGATGTGAAGTATGCCAAAGAAACAAGTATCAGACCCTCAGTCCAGCAGGATTATTGGAACCTTTGCCCATCCCTGACAGAATATGGGCAGATATCAGCATGGATTTTATTGGAGGGTTGCCCAAGGCTCAAGGGAAGGATACAATTTTGGTGATAGTGGACAGGCTAACCAAATATGCCCACTTCATAGCCCTTGTACATCCTTACACAGCCAAGGAGGTGGCAGAAGTCTTCGTTCAGGAGGTGGTACGATTACATGGATTCCCTAAATCCATAGTATCTGACAGGGATAGGGTCTTCTTGAGTTCTTTTTGGTCAGAATTGTTCAGGATGGCAGGCACCAAACTGAAGTACTCAACAGCTTACCATCCTCAAACTGACGGACAAACGGAGGTGGTGAACAGGTGCTTAGAAACCTAATTGAGATGTATCACTGGATTGAAGCCTAAACAGTGGCCTAAATGGCTCTCATGGGCCGAATATTGGTACAATACTAATTATCACATATCTATCAAGAATACTCCCTACAGGGCCTTATATGGACAAGATCCTCCCGCTATTGTGAGGGGAGATGTAACTGTGACATCAGTAGAAGAAGTCAACAAGTTGACGGCTGAGAGGAATTTAATGCTAGAAGAATTGAAGAGCAGTTTAGCTATGGCCCAAAACAGGATGAAGCAGCAGGCTGACAAACATAGACGGCCCTTACAAGTGGAGGTGGGAGACAAGGTATTCTTAAAAATTCAGCCTTATAAAATGAAAAGTCTAGCTAAAAGGATGAATCAGAAGTTAAGCCCAAGATTCTATGGGCCTTTTGAAGTGATAGAAAAAATAAATCATGTGGCATTCAAACTGAAACTACCCGAGGGTTGCACAGTGCATCCAGTGTTCCATATCTCTTTGCTGAAGAAGGCAGTATCTCCTAACCTTCCCTGCCAGCCCCTACCTACCTGCATCTCAGAAGAGTGGGAGTTACAAGTGCAGCCTGAAGAGGTGGTGGATTACAGAGTAAATCCTAATGGGGAGAAGGAAGTGCTAATTCATTGGAAGCAGCTGCCAGCTTTTGAGGATTCTTGGGAAGATTTAAACAAGTTTCAGAAGCAGTTCCCAACATTCCACCTTGGGGACAAGGTGGTAGTTCAAGGGGAGGGTAATGATAGCACAAGGGGTGTAGAGTATTTTAATAAAGTGTATGTGAGGAGGGGAATGAAGGGACAGGAGTTTATGTGAGGAGGGGAATGAAGGGACGGGAGTTTATGTGAGGAGGGGAATGAGGGGGCAGGAGTAATTAATGTGCTGGTTTGATTTCTGAATATAAGGAAGGGAGGGGAATAGGGGAGGGCAGGCTGGTATTCAGTTAGAAATGGCTGGGCTTTGGCTAGAGAGAAACTCCTTGTTCCTTCTCTAGATTTGGTTGTTATTCTCTTTATCTTCCCTGTAATCAGTCTGGAGTATTGAGAATTCCTCAATCTCCATTGCTAATAATACGGAAACTGTTTGGTGATATTCTGGTTCCTAACAAAGACTATGTATGTCCACATAAGCATAAACTCACTGACTCACCGAATAATGAAATATGTAACCAGATATATTAAAGCAGCCCAAGGACAACAAATCAATCACAGAAAATGTGAATGATGTCTTCTTTCTTCCAAAGAGAATGAAATAACCCTTTTCTGTATTTAGAAAGTTTATGACAAAAGACTCACCAAATACATCCCTTCCATCGGAGAGTGCACAGCTCCTTTTAACAAGGCAACCAATAACCAAAATGCATCTTCTTCGCTCATGTAAAGAAGCAGAAGGCCTGCAACAAATCCCATGCCCTACAATATGGTGTGATGCCAATATCATACAATCCAAAATAACAAGATCAACATTCTTTTAATGAATATAATATGCACCTGTACATATCCAACATCTCTGTCATATACAGAGTATGCTTTAAGAACATTGTAAAGAGACCTCTGTCCTGGTCCATGCCTCTGTTGAAAGAAGACATGTGAAGGAAAGGTGCGAGAGATATCTCGAATGATATCTAGCTCAGAAGCCGATGTCTCATATATGACTAGTTGCTGCACCACACAACACATATAATGAGCTCAATATCCATCATGCTGGTAGAAATATACATGTGTTTACAGTATAAAAGGATCAATATCCAGCATAAAATCTGCCTTTGTACCGGGGCTCTAAAAGGCGCTTGGTGCGCAATAAACCGGGCCCATCACCTTAGGGTCTAAGTGGAATTTAGTCGGCCTAAAAGATATAGATTTATAGCAAGTATTGTTTCAATACTATTTCAAATATGCTTTTATCTATATTTACATGATGAAATTCATGTACTGAAGATGGTTAAAATCGACTAAGAAACGCAACAGTTGAAAACTATAATTAATCTATACTTGATATAGGATCTAAATGACATTTCTTGTTTAATGAATGCATTACCGAATTACATTGTGTTAAGAATGGACCACTCTTAAGCATCTTCACACAAAAACAAAAAAACATCAGTCGGTGCCTAGTCACAGGCTACTGCCACCTAGGCACCTTGCCACCTCCGGTCACCGCCTAGGAGGAAATCTGGTGGCTTGCCACATAAGCCGCCTTTTATAGAACTGCTTACAATTAAATGTAGTGAAACTCTCTCCATATGTACTTTGTTGTTGGTAGGGTGAGAGCTTACCAGGGAGGTAAAGTTATTTACAAAAAAATGGATTAACATCAACTGGTGGTCTACCTCATATACTCCTGGGTTCATAAGCAAAAGATCCCGACTTCCAGAAATTAGCTGCCAAACAAGCCCTCTTAGACAATCAGGAATTCCTTTCCGTATTCGCCTTTTAACTACATGAGGTTTTCTGCGAACATAATGCTTCCAATCGCTGCCTCCAACACCTATCATTTTCCTCCATTTTCTTATCCTTCTTTCATCCCTGAAAATTTGGTAGACTATATAAATACAAAGTTTAAAAAGAAAAACACTTTCTAGTGATCAAAACCGATATACACAGGCAGAGTAAGGAATATTTTTTCAGAGTACAAGCAGATCCTCCATATATACCTTCTATTAAAAAAAGATATTCCATTTATACCACGGAAAAGCTTGTATTGACATTGGAAAGTATTCATATTTTGAAATTCTCAATGCTGTGGAGAACAGTTACAAACTTACAATAGTAAAACTTTGATTTTTTATTGCTGAAATGGATTTCAACTAATAATATGGTTATGAATAGCAGACAAACTTTAGGGATTGCAAAGAGGTAGCAGTTCAAAAAATACACTTATTTAGTAACCATGCTAAGAAATGTGAAAGCTAAATAACTTTTTTTTATAACATTGCAATACTAAAAAAGACAATGTGAAAGATCAATATTGTGTATAAGAGAAATGAATGGAGTGCAATAGCAACCTTAAATTAACAATACTTGAAAGCAAAGCAATTTCTAACCTCTGATATTCATAGGCTGATCTGCTTCTAACCAGACCATTTGAATGACCGTGTTCTTGTTTTAGAAATCCAAATCTATCAACTCTAGGCAATGCTGGTAGTAGATCTTCTTCATCTGCTCCCATCTTTTCCATTTGACTATGGTGTGAATCTTTAATCATATATCACTAGCAATTCACCATCACTAATCTACAACATGTGAATGTTGTTGCATGTCCCGTTTCACTCATAACTACTCTCAACTTTACACAAACAAAACTGAAAAGAAAAAAAGTAAACCAGAGTTTGATATCAATTGATCAGAATGGAAGCCTCGAAAACATCCAAAGCTCAAGTCTAATCATACAACAACATTGTCCCAGTGCCGCATAGGTTCCCACCTACGGTAAGGTAAGGGGGTCGGATCTACATTCTTACCCCTGTACTAAAGCACAAAGAGACTGTTTCCGGATGACGAATGATGAAAATCGCGTCGAAAATTGCATGGATGACACATGGGAATAAGATGGAATAAAGCAAAATGGCTCACTAAATTGTTTGCACTTCTTTGATATGAAACATCAATCAGTTCATGTAATTTTCTGCGCAATTTTCATCATGGGTCATCCGGAACAATCTCTCTATACTTTAGTACGGGGTAAGACTACATACATCTGACCCCCTTACGGCATTACCCCACCATAGGTGGGAGCCTTTACGGCACTGGGATAATGTTGTTGTTGTATAACACACACGTATACACATAAGCATATATAGAGAGAAAACAATGATCTCATAAGGCCGGACTGAAGGAACTTGGTCATGCCAAAAAATGGTTCCAGTCCCCCTATCAATCCAAACTCGACTCGAATGTCTCTCTACACACACACATATACATATGTGGGTCTATAGCTCTTTCTACATGCCAAGATAACAGCAAAATGAAATGTTACTGAAAATTGTATGAAAAAACCCCACATTAGCACCAAATGGTTAATATGGGCTTAGCATAGAATCATATTTGCGGATCGGTTTTAGTCCTTTAGAAGCTGATACAGGATCGAATCATAAACTGAAGAAAATTCAGGATTCACATAAAAGTATGGAGTATATTTCAGTTTTGGATTCATTTGGGCGTCATGATTCTTGAATTCTTAATAATTAGACAACAGCAAAGGGAAATTGGACAGGGAAACTAACCTGAACAGATGGGAAAAGATGGGAGCACCATCCTGAAATCCCAAGTCTATTCCAAATGACAATTGTAAGATGCTAAAACAAGAAGGTTATGTTTGGTTGCTTGTTATACACGACTATACTGGTAATTTCACAAAGAGGAAAGGTGAAATTCACTCCTAACGTTTTGTTCCAACTGCAGATTGGCTTTGAAGTTTTCTGATGAGAAAATAGGCCTTAAAACATCTTTAAGGGGCAAAGAAGCACCAGTCTTCACGGCTTCTTAACGGATGTTGCAGCCGTTTTCTTCTGCCAATAACTTAATTTTCCCAGTTATATGCAACGTTTAAGGAAGATGGAAAAATGAGTTTTTTTTTGGCGATATGAGTGGAATGTTTTGAAAATGAGAATCAAATAAACCTTGAATTTTACGGGCTTTGAGATCTGAAAAAAATCGAGTATGGGTCTGAGAAAGGAATGGAAAGGTAAATTGCATTTCCTTAGGGTTCTTCGTAGTCTTCTTCAATACAAAGCTTGTTGAAAATAAGATACTCCGTATTACAAGAAACGGTGGCAATAAACTAGCATCCGGAAAGAGCAAATATCCCAAAACAGAGCTCTGACCTTTAATTCTTCCAGTAGAGCTATAGCCACATCATCGCTCAACTTGGATTCTTCGTAAACTTCTCCAATACAGAACTGTAATTTGGTTTAGACTTGCAGAATCCAGGATATGCGTCAAGCCGTAAATAAATTGAAAGAGAGCAAAATGAGTTGAGAAGGAACCGAAACTGAGAATGGGAAGATTGATCGGGAAAATCTTCGGATGTTCTATGTGAGATACTACGTACAAATTAAAAATGTTTAAATATGGAGTACCGGACAAATCCCGTTACTTGATGTTGTATAAGGGACAACTTCTAACAAAAAACTGAAAAAGGGAATTTGATTTCACACTTGGTGTTTAGCTTATTTCTCAACTATTCACACACTTTGACTACCATTTTCTAATAATATATACTCCCTCCGTCCCTATATAAAAGTATCCATTCATTTTACACACATCTTAAGAAAGTGGGTTTGGTTGGTACTGTTTGGCACTGTTTGGCACTGTTTTGCACTGTTTTGCACTGTTTTGTTTGCCAAAAAAGGAAAGGGAACTTTTATTTATGGACGGCCCGAAAAGGAAACAGATGCTTTTATTTAGGGACGGAGGGAGTATAATAAAAATATTATGTATAAAATATTAATAAATTTGTATTAATATAAATTTCTAATATATTAACTTTTTTTAATGTTTACTAATACGTAAATAAATATAATTTCAGTCAAAAGTTGCGCGTTAGATAACGTGAAAGTCAAACTGTTGCAACTTTTATGGAAAGTCAAACTCTTATTTTATATCTCATTTTTAAAATTATAATGTATGCATCTCATCAATCCAAAAATGGTAAAGTAAATAAATTGGTGTGAATGCGTTAATTTTAAAAATAAATTACAAAATCAATGATCACCCAAAAGGAGATGCAAAGTGGAAACGGTCTTTAGTGAACAAGGTGTGTGATGGGAAAGTTCTCTATGATCTCATTATGAAACTCCTCTTAGAGAATGATGAGGTTTTATAAGACATGGATTTACGATACTCCCTCCGTTCCGAAAAGGTTGATCAATTTTTTTTGGATATCTCAAAAAGATTTGTCATTTATATTTAAAGTAAGGAATATGTGGCTAAAATTAATTCTCTCTCCTCTGCACAAATTTTAACCACACAATTTTTACTTTATTAATCCACGTGAAAGTCAACTTTGGTCAACCTATTCGAGACGGAAAGAGTATAAAATTCAAATAGTCTGACATTTAATATTCTTTCCATTCCATTAGACTTTAGCAACATTCTTTTTTTATTGTTTCAAAAACTTTAGCATGTTTCCATTAAAATAATTAATTTGTGATTCTACTTAGTTCCTCTGCACAAACTTGAATCATAAAATTTTAATTTTTCTTATTTTCATCTAATTCAAAATTAGCAATATCTAAAAGTAATATGTGTTTAATTTATATTAAATGATAATAGATTACATATAATTACTTTCAATGAAGGTCTTTAATTGATTTAATTCATGTACTTGTACTTAGCTTATTTTTTATTCGAGCATAATAAGAACATTTCAGAAAAATCAAAGTGATTTTTGTCTTACGTAAACATGTGTGATGTGTGTACGTTAGACAATAATTAAGTTAATTTTTTTTGGACAACTATAATTATTTTTAGTATCTCCAAAATGGAATTGTTAGTTTCCAACATTTGCAAAATATTACTTTTACCTCTGGAATAGCATTTTATTAGTTCATAACCAACTTTGAAACCATTACTATTTTGAAAAGGAAAGTAATACTCCATATCACTTTGTAGCTCCTTTCTAAGCTTTTCAGATCAACATTATTTGTTAGTTTGTATAAGGTTTTGAAACTATTGGAGTTAAGACTTAAGACTGAGTCAGGCTAATTAAGGAGAAAATAATTAAAATACCCTGAACTTTGGGCATGTGTGATATCTCTACCCCGAACTTGTTTGTGTTAATTAAATACCCCCTCCTTTAACTAATATGAGGAACTGGCACCCTTCGTCCAAAGAACTTGGACGGAACTGGCACCCTTGAATAATCAAAAGCATTTATTTTAATCCTGAAATAATGTTATGCAATATCTAGTTGGCATATACACATCCACATAAGCTTTGCGTATAGTTATATCCCTGATCCCTGATGCATCTCTACTCTAGTTTTCTCTTACATCTTAGATGAAAACCCCTAATTTAAGGGCCATGCCATGAAAGAAGCAGCGAGCGTGAAGAAGATGAGCGATCATTACTCGGGACGAAGACGCATGTCTTGTAGCGGAAGCTCGTCGCTAGGAAGAGAAGGGTAAGGGAATTCAAGTGAAAGTGTAAAGTATTGCTATCACAATATCCCTGCTAATCTTGAAATTACATCAAAGGGAGGAAAGAAACATGGTCGACGATTTCACATGTGCTCTCAGTGGAAGGTATGAGTCAATAATGCTTTATTTTTTGGGAATTAAGATTTCGAAAAGCATTTTCATTGTTTTTTATGTTGGATTTTATATTGTATAGGTCAATATTGTAGGTACTTTGAGTGGTTTGACAAAAAAGAATATGATTCTCGGGCAATAGAAGTAATTAATTGGTTGAAGATGAAAAATGATCAACTTATTGAGGAATGCAAGCAATTACAATCTGAAAATGAAAGGGGGTTGTCACATTTGGTAGACAAATGGAAACTGGAAGATTTCTTGATGAGTGCTTGACTTATATGTTCCAGACAAGGCAAGTAGAGAAAGAAATACTTCAGATGAATGTGGGAAAACTAAAATAGAAGAACAAAGATGTTAATAAGAAATTGTTGATGGTAGAAGCAGAGTTGGAGAAAATGAAAGGCATTCATGTATCAAAAGCAGATATTGAAATAGTAGTGGCTAAATTTGTAATAGTTGGATTTGTTTTAATTTGTATAATTGTATCAATTGGCTCAATTGTTGTGAGAAAAGTGTAAGTTAAGGTTAGAATGCGTACTGGCTAGAATGTTGTGTTTCCATAACCTATTATTCTTATGAAATGTACAACCAAACGAAGCCATATTAGTAATATGAAATGTATTTCTACTAATATGCCTTTTTGGGTGAAGCTTAGCTTTGTGATCCTTTCATGAGTGTGCTTGACTTTGTGGTATGTTTAGCATGAGTGTATGATAAATATGTGCTTATTTGTGATCTATTTATCATGTGAGCTAAAGAGCACGTTTCTGCTGCTCCAATTTAGCATGAGCTTCCTGGTAGTTATTTTACATGAGTGTGATTATATATATTTAGCTCAAGCCTACTGCTATTTAGCCATATATTTTATCTGTTTGTACTGCTATTTAGCATGACTCTGCTGCTTCAATTTAGCATGAGCTTCCTGATAGTTATTTTCAACATGAGTGTGCTTTCTCTTAGGTGTACTTTATTGTATAGGGACAAAAGCCTTAATTATTTGTCTTAGAATCCAAGTAAACAAAGACAACAAGGAATTCAAGGACCTACCTCCTGAAAGAGCTTATGCAGATTTTGTTCTTTGCAATCTAGTGCTCCATTTGGTGATCATGAACTTCCTTGGATAATTAACAGCTGCCTTGTAAAATTTTCAAAATGTTGTTTTCCGTATGTTATTAGGAAGTTGAGGCATTAACATAGACATGTGGAGACTTTAACAGAGATGTATTTGTGGCGTTTCTCCGTAGCAATTGATTTGCACATTAAATTAAAAAAACATGAGTGTGCTTATATATATTTAGCTCAAGCCTACTGCTATTTAGCTATATATTTTACCTTTTTCTGCTGCTATTTAGCATGACTCTGCTGCTATGTATTCAAATGAATGGGTTGCTCTATATTTGTTTCAGTATGTTCTTATAAATCAACCCAAACGATAAACACCAGTGACTAGCTACTATAAAGAGGAATGAGTGTATAAATTATTTGCTACCATAAAGGGAAGATAAGTGACATCTCCCAGAAATTTGAATTACATAATTGTGAAGGTTTTTACATAGCAAAACAGAAAGCAAAACATGGCCTCTAGCATGAACCAAAAATGAGGTTTGCACAGGTGCACATAACTATATTATAAGCAAAAACAGCCTGTACATTGGCCTTTACCATCACACCAAAAAGTGACCTTTACAACTTCCAGTAAGCTTACAAAGAGGACCTTAACTTTAGACAAAAAAGGACCATAACTACATGTTGTCTTCATACAGCAAAAATCCCAACTTTCAACATCAAAATCAAAACTATAGCCAAATACTTCAGATGGTTCAAACCCTACTACATCATGTCTGAGATGGGTGAGAAGTTGTTGGATCAGAAGATGTTTGGGACATAACATTACCACCCCCTTGTCTTGGCTGAAATAATTAGTATGAGCATTACATTAGTTAATTTCATAGATTTGTTGTAATACTTTAAAATTGTGTACCACTTACATTTAGGTAAACTCTTGCATCATCACCATAGTAAACTCCTCATCTGTTGGGTATTGTTTGTCTTGAAGCACTAGAAGAAGCACTCTTTAGTGGCCTTCCTCTTGGCCTTTTAGGTTGGGTAGGATCACCACACAGAGCTTGAGTTATTTTTCTTGACGGTCCACCATCCTTCCTTGGTCTTCCTCTTGCTTTTGCCTAATATGTAAACATAAACAAGTATACATACAAGGAAATACTCAAAAAAGTATTAACAACTATTAATAATGACTAAGTTATACACTTACTAATAATATATCCATTGAAAGTCTCAACCATATTACAATGACATCACTTTTACTCAGTGTTTTCATGTAGGACCTGCAGAAGGTGGTTGGATTCTGGGAAATAAAATCTTCAACGGCTTTGGTACTAACAACGTTCATTTCCTCAAGTACAGTGTCAAAGTCAGCTCTAGCATATGCTCTGACAGCCTTTCAGACCAAACACCTAAGTTGCTCCCCCTTATGTTTCTTCAGCAAATTTGCATAAATATGCCTAGCACAGTTCCTATGTTCTGCAACAGGAAAATGCTCTGTAACAGCTTTACACAATCCCTTTTGCTTATCTGAACAAATGGTAGAGTTCTCAATACCAAAACCAGGCAAATCAGTTTTTAGAACACCTAAAAACCAACTCCAAGAATCATTATTTTCAGCCTCCACAACTGCCCAAGCAACAAGGTACATTTGATTGTTCCCATCTCTTTAAGAAGCACCTGTCTACACATAGCACAGATCTACATCCACTTAGAAACTCATCTCTCAATCCAGGAAAGCTCGCATAAAGCCTCTTAAAGATTTCTGGTTCCCTAGGCAGATTAGGCT